CGCCAGGAGGCCCCTGCTTCCTTTCCCCTGGGCGCCCCTAACCCCAAATAAGGAGCCTGAGGGCTGCTCAAGGGTGCTGCAAAGGCAGAGAGCAAAGTAGGAGAGGACAGCCACTCCTCCTCTGACTCTCCCTGGCTGTGACTTGTCTGGCATTCCTAGGGGGATCCCCACTCTTGAAGAGCTTTGCCAGGATTCGTGGTCAGAGTTCTGAACTGAAGTAGGGTAGTTGAACTCAAGATCCCTCTAGAAAGACTCCGTCTGAAGGAGGATGAATAAAACAAAAGTGAAGATAGAGTCCAAGTCGTCACATGAATTGAAGCCGTGCACGGCTATTCCAAATACATGCTGTCAGGCTAGGGGTTGGAGGGTGACACTGAGCCCAGGAGTCCCTGCACTGTGCAGCTGGGTGCTTCAAGACAGTTTACATGAAATGTGATTCCTGAATTGTCTGGGGATATAGTGTAGCAACTCACATATTGTCCTAGGCTGTCCTGGAACCCCTGATGTTTGAACTGGTTGTCTTTATGCAAGATGTGCTTTGTGCTAAGACCTAAATGGGTTTGTTCTTATGGGTTTGTCAGCGGGGCCTATGGTGGTTCCATGTGCAATGCATGTGTTTGTGACAGTATCTAACATGCTTTCCTTATCAAAGGGCAGAAAATCTTCATGGAAGTGTTGAAGGCACAAGCAGAATTTAAAAGCTAAACAAAAGGATGCATCTTCTTGGGCAAAAGAAATGAAACTAAGAAAACTAACATATCAAGCAAAAGCTTTGATATGCAGTCAGATGAGTCATCAAATCTTGTCGAATCAGTCAGTGCAAGCACTTCAACCACAGAACCAGGGTAGCAATATTTCTGAAACCCAGGTATAATTTGGTGCCAGAGATAGACTACTGGTCCAGTCCTCATGCTAAAATGTCAAACCTTCTTTCTGTACTTGGACACCCTTGGGGCCTACCAAACAGACCTCTCTACTAGCCAGGACTCAGTCCCCATCTCTCCTCTTCCGACTGGGCACTGGACAGATTATTCCTTAGGATAACTCCTGTTTGCCATTCAGGAAGTCCCGATTTCCATCCCCAGGACCAGATAAATAAATATGCAGTTCTGCTGTGGAATCTTTACAAATGTGTCCCATTCATTCATCCTTATTCTTTGGTTCCTACCTTCATGGTGCTAGATATAAAGACAAAGAAGTTCCTCACTTAGACTAAAAGAGTGTGCATGCTAACAGTACAAATCTTGTTACTTTATTCAAGTTAACAGAACCTAACTTCAGTGTAATTCCATAATGGCCAACAGGAATTCCAAAACTTTTGTGCATTTTTAAATATGCAAAGGAGAATTCCCAATTTTAATCAGAATGACACACACACACACACACACACACACACACACACACACACACACCTTATGAATGGATCTATTTGCAATCCAATCCATTACAGTCCAGTCTTCATAATTTGTTAGTTTTCTAATCAGAGATTTTCTAAATGAGCTCCTTACATCTGTCTCCATACAGTTAGTATTCTTGACCACCCACATAGAGTGTGTGTGTGTGTGTGTGTGTGTGTGTGTGTGTGTGTGTTCTCGAGAAAGCTCAATTTAATCCATTTGCACTCATGATTGCAAGGGGTGATGACTAAGTTTTATTTTGTATCACTTCAGATTGACTAGAACAGTGCCTGGCACACCAGGATCATAAATAAACACACGGGACTGACTGACAGCTTTCTTTATTGGACTCACATTCTTCATGGAATTTCAGAGAGGGTTGTATTTGAAAAGTTACAGATGATCTACAATGAGAGTCCACCTCTGTGTTTCACCTCATCCATATTCTACAGAATGATTTGACAATTGCCTTATAAATAAAGGCAGCCAGGTTCTCCTGAGTGACCCCACGACAAAATCACATCCACATTGGCTGCTTTCTTTTCAATGTACTCACAAGGATGTTGCTTGAACTGCTCTTGCCCTTGGCAAAGTTCTTTTTAACACTTTGTCCTCTGCTGGTATTTTGTTTCCTTTTGCTTTTTAACATTTCCCAGGAAAGTAAAAACCCTTGCATTGAAAGTCAGTTTTACAAAATCCAGAGTCCTGCAATTACTAAACAATCTATTTTGGATGAATATGGCTTTGTTTTAGCCCAAGGCATTTTCCTTAAGGATAGGCATCCATGCCGCCAACTAAAAAAAAAAAAATCATTGCAAACATTCTTTGTGGTTTTTGTGTTTTTTAAACGACCTTAGGAAGCCATGGGCATGGCAATCATGCAGAATACATTGGGAGAAAGTACAACCTATAAATTATGACTAAAACTGTGGCAGGCTGCACTTGACTTCTGGATAGCTATATAGGGGGAGGGAGAGGAGTATCTATAATTTTTTTAAAACTTAAATAAGCTTCCTAACAAGATATTACACCAGTTAATCCTAAAACAATGGGAAGGGAGAAAGGCAGGGACATGGAAATGTAGTTTTCACCAAGAAAATCAAATAATACAAATTGCATTGTTCTTTTTCAGGACACACACACACACTATATATATATATATATATATATATATATATATATATATATGTAATTTCAGGACATTTAACAGAACTTTTCAGCATTTTAGTTGTAGGTAATTGAGCAGGAGTTCTTGAAATTCTGAAGCCTTTCTTGTACATAAATGCCTGTCCATCCTGTTTCCAAAATGCTAGCAAGCAACAATTATACCCACATATGGAAAAGGCTGGGCCCAGGAAATTATGCAGAAGCAAAGCTAATGCCACAGACCACAGAGAAAAATGTCTGTTCTTGGTGGGGGAGGGGGCAGGGAGAGATAGCAATAAATAAATGAAGCATTCTGTCTGAAAGTTTTTCTTGCTTCAACCTGTTTTCTCCCAACACCCATATTGGTGGTAGAAGCTCTCCTTTAGTAGCTAATAGTAGTAGCAGTAGTAGTTGTAGTAGTAAATTATGAAGCTGGACTTCCAATCCAGAAATAATGAAGCACACTTGTTTTTACATTTTCTTCTCCTGGCCTCAGGTATTGCTTCCTCTCAGTGCAGTCCAGAAAAAAAAAAAAAAAAAAAAAAAAACACATTTGCTACAGCCCTTCTCTCCAAAGAATGGAAATGTGTTCATTTTGACTTTGCAGTTGGGTAAGAGAGTGCAAGGTAGGGAGTTAGATGTGTGTGGTCCAAGACAGGATACATGGGTGACAAGGACAGTTGTTGAAGAGGCCCTCTGTGGCCTTTCTCGCTGAAGAAAAGCTGCTGTTTCCTTTTGGAAATCATGAGTATGCCCAGATTTTTGCAAACTCTCAGAAGTGCTTGTCTGACTCAGACTTCAGAGAAAGTAAGCAGTCAGCAAGCAGCCCCAAGAAAGAGGAGGCCTGGTGACCTCCCGCCCACAGCAACACAAGATCACTTCACAAGAAGCTGGGAGACCACGGGCTGGGTCTGTCTGTACCTCAAACAAACAACACGCCTTCTCCAACTCATGTTCTTTTTCCTCGGAAATCAATCCTGGATTCTGTCCCAGACCCCTGACAGGTTTAAAATTCTTTGATTCTTTGAATGATTATAGATAATGATGGCAATATATTTTCAACCTTGTGTGCCTTTGTTTTAATGAGTAGCACAGAGATTTCCTAGCCATAGTCTCACATGTCCTCATGGCTGGCTAGAAAATTGCTGAATACATGCTGCTGCTTAAACTTGCCCAGCCAAAACAAGTCCCACTGAAGGTATTATTATTATCATTCTTGAGAAGTTTAGAATGATGTTCTACTGATAACGCAAAAGGAGGGAAAGAATAGAGTTTGGGAATCACTGGCTAGAGCAAGAATCACAGATTTTATTGCATTCAAGGACACTACTAAGCTGTGTGTGCTGACCACATTTTAATTTTTAATATTTGACTGGTATGACAAGAACTCCAAGAGCAAGCCTGGGCCCAAGTCTATATCACAGTAAAGTGAAATAGCTAGTGTAAAAACTGACTTGTAAATAATAAGGAAATAATATTGTTGTTAGCCAAGAACAGAAAGTTGATCTCATACCGTTCTATAGAGTCACACTGGTGGAATGTGAAACAATCCACAGAGCAAGAAGTATCCCATAAAAGCAAGGACTACAACCCATCACAGATCTTGGCCCCATCCTACAGTCAGTATGATGTCATTTCTCTCTCCCTTGCGATCATTTGTAGAATATGAAAGCCGTTGTCTCATCGTGACAAATCATAGTAAAGAGGTCAAGTCGGAACCACAGACCCTCTGTTCTCAGACAGTGACCCTCTTATTTCAAAGGTCATGAGAGAAGAGTCCTTGTACTTTGTGATCATTGTTTGAAGCACAATCCTTTTCTTGGCTACAAGCCTTT